TGGCGGCGGCGGGGGTCAATTGACCGTGTTGGTGGGTTGGAGGGGGTGCGATACGTGGTGGAGGGTGGTTTGTCCGGGAATTGAAGGTCGAAGTCGAGGTTGGCGATGATGCTGGGTGCTGGATGATTACATAAGGCAGCTCGGGCCAATTGGCGGGCGCGTTTTACGGAGGCCCTCCCCCCCAGGACCAAAGGCCAAAGGGCAGGGGTGGGTGTGTGAGGGACCCATGTCTAACCGCGAAGTGTTGGGGAGAAGAGGCTCACTGTTGTTGCGTTTGCCGAATTGGCAACTGTCGTCTTTTTGTCTTTCCTTTCGTGTCAGCAATTGTTTGCCATCATGTTTGTCCGGAGTACTCCGCGGTGCGCGTCACAGGTGAGGGCTGCCGTCGCGAGGGCGAGGCCTTCGTATGCGAGCCCGCAGACACGCGCCTACTCGACGCCTGCGGCTGCGGCACCGGTTTCCAGCAGCCCGTTTGGGGGACCGCTTGTCTCGTTCATGAACAAGCTGGACGAGCTTGCGCCGAGCTTCGACATCAATGGCTCGCAGATTGAGATCATTCGAGAGCCTGCTGACTTCTACGAGACGCTCAAGGTGCGCAGGTGACTGCCGGAACCTTGACGCAACGGCTAACGAAAGACTGGACAGGGGAGGATACGAAATGCGAAGAACCGGGTATTCCTGTCGACGTTATACATTGGCAAGACGGAGAGAGAGCTGGTAGGGAAAAAACGAAGTTGCCCCGAGCCTGCGGCTGAAGATTTGCTGAACGACGGCAGATCGCGACGATACAAGAGGCACTGCGCAAGAACCCCGAACTCAAGCTGCACATCCTCACCGATGCCCTGCGTGGTACGCGCGAGGCCCCGAAGCAGTCATGCGCCTCGCTTCTGGCTCCCCTTGTCACCGAGTTCGGTCCTGACAGGGTCGAGATCCGAATGTACCATACTCCCAACCTGACGGGCTGGCGGAAGAAGCTTATGCCCAGGCGGATCAACGAGGGTTGGGGACTTCAGCACATGAAGCTATACGGTGTGGACGACGAGATTATTTTGTCTGGGTATGTGTTCTTGATATAGTAGGTGTACAGCAACCGCTTGCTGACGCTGCCTAGAGCCAATTTGTCGAACGACTACTTCACGAACCGCCAGGACCGATACCACCTGTTCTCCTCCAAAGCCGTTACTGATTACTTCTACGACATACACCGTACCGTGTCATCCTTCAGCTTTCTTGTCGAGCCCACGAGGGAACGAGCTGGTTTCGAATTGGCGTGGCCGGTGACCAATGCGGCGCCATCACCCCTGGACAGCCCGGAGAAATTCGTCGAGACCACATCATCCACGCTTGCCCGCCTTATATCGCCTAGGAAAACACCCAGCCGTGACGAGAGCAAGGACACGCGAGTATACATGACGGCGCAAATGGCGCAACTTCTCAAGCGAGGGGCGTCGACAGACCAACCGGTTATCAGGTCCCTTTTGAACTTCATGCGCCAAGAGAAGACGACGTGGACGTTCACAGCCGGCTACTTCAACCCGAGCCGATCGCTTCAGGCAGCTCTCATTGCGGCCCACAGCTCCGAAGGGCAAAACGTCGTCATCACCGCCGGACCGGAGGCCAATGGCTTCTTCAACGCCCCTGGCGTCGCTGGTCTCTTGCCGGGCGCATACACGTACTACCTGCGCCATTTTGCGCACGCTGTGCACTCTGCTGGCACGGAAGACTCGATCAAGCTCAAGGAGTGGCGGCGCGGCGTCGTCGGCACGCCTGGCGGGTGGAGTTACCACGCCAAGGGCATCTGGGTGACGCTGCCCGGGGAAGAGACGCCGTGCGTCACATCGATCGGCAGCTCCAACTATACGAACCGTAGCTACACGCATGACCTCGAGGCCGGCGCTTTGGTCGTCACGAGGGATCAGGACCTCAAGAGGAGGCTTGGTGAGGAGCAGGCCTGGCTGCAAGAGTATGCGACCTTTACGACGAGGGAAGACTTTGAGACAGAGGAGAGGCAGGTTGGGTGGAAGGTCAAGGCGGCGATGCGGATTGTGAGACTTCTTGGTGGTGCTCTGTAGAGGGCCCTCGTTTGCTGGCCGGTAGATATTTGGACACGCCATCCCTTCAATTTGCGCAATACCCTTGCTTCAAGGCGCGTATCAACTCGCCCCTTCAACAGGCTCTGTCAACGTCGCTCCAATCCGTGCTCCCATCCCAGCCCTATACCGTAAGGGCTAGCAGAAGAATGTCGACTGCGTCTCCAGCTAGAACAGCTCCTCTGCACCTTTGTTGGGAAGCCCGTACCAATGCTCAGACACTTCTTCAGGCTTCACGCCCATGACTTTGACTAGATGCCGGAGATGGGAGATCCTTCGATCGTACCAACTGTTTCCTATATGATCGTCTTCCAGATACTTTTTACGGCATTCGAACTCAAAGTCTATCCATCCTTTATATGCAGCAACTTGCTTCCCGATTGGGTTGACGAAATGATAGCGGTTCTTCTGCTGCGTTAGTATCGCCATGAAACCCCCTCAGATTGCGACGTGTACATACTGATGGTTGCTCTTTCATCTTACCAGGCTTTGAACAGGCTTCGTCTGCTCGAGCTGCATCAAGTCGTTCTTTCACTTGCGTGAACCATGTTCTTCTGAGTTGATCGTAGTTCAACGCTTTCGCTTCCTCCATTTCCTGTTCTAATATATCAATGAGTTCTTCCTCCTCGGCGAGGATATCGTCAACATCGTCGCTTGGCAGGGGGGGCACATGACCATCCATCAGGGGGCTGCCCGGAAATCTTGTGCAGCAGAGGTGAGTCAAGCCCAACTCATCGTGTTTGGCCCTCCTGATGTAAGATTGCAGAGTCGTCTTCGCTTCTTCCGAACCACGATACTCCAACACAATAATGAGCCATTCAAATAGCGGCCACGGGACATCAGTCGATTGTGAATAATATAGCGATGACCAGTGTAGAATGCCAGATGGCAAACATCCGTTTGGCGAACACGGGCATAGACAGTTGTCCAGAGAAAGCGCATCGATGCCGCACTGGAGAACATGGTGAAGTATCCGCCAGCCACTTTCATGGCTACAATTGGCCATCTGGAACGTACCCATGTACAAGGCGTACCAGAGTGCCGTGTGGCCGTTATTGTCCCGGTGGTGAACGTCCGTCCCGGCGTTCAGGATCGGTAGGATTGTCGGCACCTCGCGGTGCCTTCTCATCGACCGCATGAAAGGGCTATGGCCATCCGAGTTGGCTTGGTTTATACGTGTGAAACCTTGACCTAGCAATGTCTGCACATCTTCGGGAGTGGTCACAAAGTGCATCAACGTGCTGCCGCGGCAGCCATTATGGTCGAAGATGAAGTTTGGTGTGTCGCACTTTGCGAGAAAGTCTTTGAAACCAAGACGCCGCCTTGTGTGATCCGGATACTCCACATGACGCAGAATAGTTGCGTGTCGCGCCCAGGTCCAGTCAGTGTCGTTGTCTGGCCGTGTTTCCAATCTTGAAAGAGCGGCCATGATGACGTCCCAATTATTGCGAGAAGCTGCAAAATCGATGAAAAGATTATTGTGCTTGGTAGCCCGAAGTGAAGGATCCGCTCCGCGGTCAAGGAGCAAAAGGACAGCGTTGACAAGTCCCATGATGCCAGCATACATGAGGGGAGTCATGCCCAACCGATCGAGGGCGTTGATATCATGTCCCGAGTTTATGAGCGCTGTCATATGTCCGGTGTTCGACAGAGCCAAATGCAAAGGTGTCTGGCCAAGGAAGTTTCGTTCATCAGTGGGTGACCTAGAGGTCCTTGTCTCGTCAAGCCCGTCCGTGCCAAGAAGGACAGCCTCGTGGAGGGGCGTCATCTCGGCGAAGCCTGTAGCACAACACGTCAAATTTGTGCCGCGATCAAACAGATAGGGACTCACCGGGACTCAGACGGCAAAGAATGGCGAGATTCTCGAGGGAAAATGGATCAGCCCCGGCATGCTTCCCTCCAATCTTGACTAAGGACGGCCGAGGCCAAAATCGAGCGGCTGGCGCGGGACTCTCCGAGGGGTCAAAGCCGAGGGTGATCAGACACTTGAGCAAGTTGCTACGAGAATTATGCCTGCTGAAGTTTGCCAGCCGTGGCAGCAAGCTGCGTTATCAACGTCAGAATTCAACCGCCATGCGGCAGCAACTGCCCCCGGAAAGATCTGAGACTGACCGCGGAGAATATAAGCCTTTCGTAATGTTGAGTTCTGTGAAAAAGAATTTGATCATGGTGATCTGTTTTTCATGCAATCTCGGAGACCATTCGAGATACAAAAGAGCCTGTTTGGGTAGTTCAGCAGAGATATCTAGTGACTTGAAGCGAGATGTTACTAGCCTCAAGATACGACCAGCCAGATGGGTTGACGTGATTTCTAAACGAACTATCGGTTCGTGCCATTTTGAGGAGCTGCTGCTGAGCTACTTCGGGCGACACGGAGCCATATCTACTACACCTTCTTATTAAATCGAAGCCTGGAGAATTGTATGGAACAGTTCTCTCCAGCACAAGACTTGGTTGCAATGAGAAGCTGCCTGCTTCCTGAGCGATGTATGCTTGAAAATTGACCGACCAGTTAAGGCCAACTTGCGTCAATGTGACTCTGAAACTGGCACCGTACACGGTGGACTGGCACTTGGAATAGTCACAGGGCGTAGGGGAAGCGATGTACTCGAACGCCCAATAGCGCCGAGAAACCTTGGACATTCGGTGACAGGAACAAGGACAATGCTTTGTCGAGCCACTGCCGCATCTCGGATGCTGAGGCCTATTCGCCAAGTTTACACGGCCCATTACTGCGCCCAGCGTAGTTATCTCGTCCAGCGTTTGTGTGGATGAGGACACCAGTGAGTCCTCGACTACTGGCGAAGGCTCCGGCGTTGGTAACATTGGCGCAAGACTCAGCCGACTCATACCGGCGAGTAATGGCAAGTGAGACGTCCTACAACCTCTTCAGCGTTGCGATCGCACTGCTTATCGTCCGCTGCGGGACTTGACGTACATCATCATGGTCATTTGTGCTCTAGTCACACTCTGCTGCAGAGCCTCGACGGCGGTTCGCAAGCCCGGCAAGCCCGTGATCTTCCTAATGACTCTCTTGCTTTTGCTGCCCGTCGTCACCAAAGAGACCATGCCCCTGACCTTGTCAAGGCCTTGGGCAATCTGCGTGCAGCACTCGCAGCATCGCTGGAGAACCGGCTCGGTGACGCCAGGTGTTTCTTCCAGCGCCTCGACGAACGTGACCAGCAGTTCGAGATCACATGCGAGCCTGTCTATTTCAACAGGGAAGCGGTCGTCTGCGTTGCGAATCTGGCGGAGCATCTTCACGCCGGCCGTCAATTGCGGCACCAGAGCGACAAGGCCGAGGACGAGACCGACGACTTCGGCCATGGCGGCGATCGAACAGTGGATTTCTATGACAGATGTTTGAAGCGGCAAAGTCTCACATGCATCGAGATTTCGTAGTTGAAAATGACGGTAGGTTCTTGTCAGTCAGAGTTTGTGTCGAGGAGATCATCGCAGCTACGAGCAAGCTTCTCGCGCAATCAGGCTGGGATTGCCAGCACTGACGACATTGTCACTCGCATTGAGACCAGATTAGGCAGACCACCTTCAGCTTGACGTATATGGCTGGTCTTCATCCGTCAAAGTCACCGGGATTGACCAGGGGGCTATGCAGGCGAGTTGCACTGCATTCACATCACCAATGAGCTACCGCCACCAAATCTCTGCAGCTGCTGTGCCGCTGCCCTTCAGGGCTGAGTTCTCAACAAGGGACATGGCGGTGTCTTTCCCTTTTCGCGAGGCCTCCGCCATAGATTGAGGCCATACACGTATATAGTGTGCTATTTGGAAGTATATGTATGCGTGCCGAGACGCCGAGACGGAATGGCGCATGGTTAGGCTGTCCGCATCTTTACTGCAAACAAGCCATGATCATGACGCCTGCCCTACAGATCTTGGCCACGTTGGCATTGCTCGGCGAGGCTTTGGCTGCCACATCAAAGACGTCCGTCTGGCTGCCGTCGCGCACGACTAGAGCCGGTGATAACATCTATGCGTCCGTTATCACGGCAGTCCCGGAGAAGAGCTCGACGGAGTATCTGCTCGCGTGCACATCGGTCTTCAAGTCGCCGTATCCGACCAGTTGCGGAGATTTTCGGGGCGTGACCCTGACGCAGGGGCCCGAGACTGTCAAGATCCAATTTGGGTAGGTTCTCTTCTTGCTCAACTGCTTCGAAGGTCTGGGTCGGGATTGGAAGACGTTACTGACGGACCAGATCGGAGACATACACCTGCGACGCTGACGATGGCGACGTGTGCGACATCAACGCCCAGGCAACATCGACCGCGACAGGGGAAGGTTCATTCACGGCCATTACTATCGTGTCTGGCGCGGAAAAGCTCTCAGGCGGGAAGAAGACTACTACACCGCCAGCGCCGTCGGCCACAAGTAATAGCAACGGAATTTGCAAGAGAGCATCGGGCAAGGGCGGCAGCAGTGGTGGTGGAAGCAGCGATAGTGACAGTAGCAGCAGCAACGGGGGCAGCTCAACGAAGAACGGCAAAAACGGGTGTTCAGGAGCTGGGTCGCTGAGGGCAGAGCTAGGGATCGTAATGGGGGTAATGGGGGGTCTCGTGGGGCTTGTTGCGTTTGTGTTGTGAGAACTGCAATTGGGATGAGACCAACTTTGTGTTATGAGCTACGATGAGATGAATGCCATTGAGATCATTCGACATGGCGCTGAAAGGACAACAAGCAGATCCAGTCGGGTGGTGGTGTTGGTGGGACGGCGAAGACGAGCTGGCAGCTTGACCAGGTGAGACGAGGTGATGTGACGATGGCCCAGCCATTTGGTTCGTCTGTGACCCGAGAAACTCAATTCACCAGGGCCTTCAACAGCCTTTAGCGCCATGCTGGGGTTTCGGCAGGACGGCATCGGAACTGGTGTTGAGCCCCCGACCCATGACGAGCACGCGGCGCGCCCATTGCCCCGAGCCCGAAATCCAAACGGGGTTGACACACATTGTATTGTGAAGCGTCGCAGAGGCTTCAGGGGCTGACGGGGAGGAGACAGGGTCAGAAGAGGGGTCTTTTCTGGTGGAGAGAGGCTGGGTATGCTTATGTTTTGGCTGGGGGCTGGGCCAATGTCGGGGGTTAGTGAAACAACAGGAGGCTCTCTGTATTCTGATGATGGGCGGCCTTCTGTTAATTTCGGCTCTCCGCCCGTGTCTGTCGTCTGTTCCAAGGACCGGAGGGTTTAGAGCGTGCAGCGGGCGCTAATGTTGGCAAAGCTTGGCCAGATTTGATCCCGAGATAACATATTCGCACTGAAGCAGCGTGCTGGAGGTGCCTAGGTTCCTGAAAGTACTGTACCTCCCTAAGTATGTCGTTTGGGCGTCTTGCAAACGAACAGTGGTGATGGGGCTCTGCATCGACAGAGTTCTTTCACTGCGATCCAAACTTACTCACGCCATGGTCGATCAAGTTTGTGATCACCAGATCACTGTTGATTTCCATGATGTGCCGCACCATCAATTGGACCTTTGGCTCATCGCATAAACCCGCTCGGCCTGCGAGCCATCCGTCTGATGTGCCTGCACCTCATCGACCCAGATCCTAACGTCGCAGCATGCCAGCAGACAATTCCTGGCAGGGGTTAGCGAGCTATTTTGCGACGAGACGCCGCCCCGGCCTGCCTCTGATCCGTCTGATCTGCCTTCACATCATGAAACCCCCCCGGAGGCTGGCCCTAGCGATCTGTAAAAGTCCACCATTCAACGGCCTCGCCGAATCGAGCGAGGAGTCGAAAGCCGCCTATCTCGGCCGGGAGATCGAAGCTCGCTACCTGTTTTTGGATTCGACCTCGTCTCAGCAACCAACACACCGTTTGATGGTGGGCCTCCTCCTGGCCAGGGTCTCCAGGAGCCGCATGGGCCTGACGTCTATCAAAACCCAAATGGGAACATTGTCTCGCTGCTGAAGCTCAACGTGGTGTAGTGCCAGGCGCTGCTGCAACGTCAGGGTGAGGCTCTCGGACGCCAGAGGAAGATTGTGTGAAGTCCTGGCAGGCCTGTCGTCCGATGAGCGTGACATTGACATGGATTGCGAGATGAAGGTGAGGTATTGCTATTCATGGCTCCAAGTACGATTATGAGGATCGACCAGATCGTCTGGATATTTAAGACTTGGTGAATGCCTCCCATCAACCGTTCTTCTTGCCTCTTCATCCTCATCACCATCATCTTCTCACTGTAACTTCCATTCCTTGACAGCTGTGCTGCTCGAATCTCTTCAAAGTACTACTTTTATCATTCTCTTTATTCGGGTCAGCGACTCTCTTTTTCATCCACCTTTTACAGAACAAAACTATCCTTGAAGCATTTCAGTCTTCTCTCGCCCATCACCCCACCAAACCAAATCTCTTAACCCCCCAAACAAACAGCAACCACCCAACCTACCGTCAACATGAAGTTCTCCATGATCACCGTCGGCTTCGCTGCCCTCGCCGCCGCCACCCCCCTCGCCAAGCGCCAGGCCACCGTCTTCTCGACGACCACCTACGACGCCATCTCCATCAGCGGCGGCGTCGCCGGCAACGGCGAGCAGGAGGCCCTCGACGCCCTCGCCGGCCTGCCCGCCGACCTCTCGACCGTCGCCAAGGCGGATCTCGACTTCCTCAACAGCGTCAACCAGATCTGCAACCAGGCCGAGAAGGAGGCCTTCAACCCGGCCATCGAGGCCGCCACGGGCGAGGAGGCCCAGGCCCTCGCCAACGGCAAGACCAAGAACAAGATCCTCAAGCTCACGGCCACCAAGCTCAAGCTGCAGGCGCAGGCCGCGCAGGGCCAGGACGTCGCCGCCAAGCTCGAGGAGGAGGAGAAGAAGCTGCAGAACAACATCAACGCCGACAAGGAGGCGGCCGGCCAGGCTTCGACTGCCCTGCAGTTTGACGCCTCGACTGCTTAAGCCGGCTGATGACTGGCGAAGGCACATTCATGATTTCGCAGTTTGTTTGGGATGAGAACCTGAGGGGCAGATTTGGCGGAGAGAGAAAGACACATACGCGATCTGGGATCACGGGATAGTCGGATGAGAAAAGGGGGCAGGCTTGCACTGCTCGGATGATGATAATGGGGAAGCTGTGCTGGCTACTTAATGTTGTGGAGTACATAGTGGTTCCCTGTATGTACTTGAATGACAGAGAGATTCCCTGGCTTTTCTGCACGCCTCAGTGACTGTCTACCGGTGCGGATTATGGAGGGTTCATAGGGGGGTTCATCAGAAGCCTCTATCCTCAATCAGCCGCGTGAACTCGAGTCTCTGCTCTGAACAGGGTTATGAGATGTCCTGTAAGACTGGAATCCACCATTTCTCGTGTGAATGACACAGTGTCATGTCATGGCGAACGCATATTCCATGTCCAACCAGACATCAACCAACGGCACACCAGGAACCCGCTCGCTCACGAGCACCCGTGCGATGGGCTTTGTGGTCACAATGTCATAGACGCCACGGATGTTTGGAGCCAGGATGCCTTTTGTTGCAGCATACTGCATCATGTCGGCTTCTGAGGGGTCCAAGGCACTGAGCGGCTTGACTTTGATGGCTAGGACGGTGCCAGTTGCTGTTGTATGCTCAAGCGCGCGGTTCCCGTAGAAATTGTAAATCTCTGTGCCGCAAACTGCGTCGGTGTAGGACATGTGACGGAGGGAGCGAGGCTCATGTGGCGGGATGGCGGACATTGCGACCCGTGGTGTTCGTTGTCGCGCTTCTAAGGACGGAGACTACCTACCTACTTTGAGCACATAGGCCGTTAGTCATGTACGTACGGCCTGCTCCATTGAACTGGATGCCAGCTAAAGAAGAGCCGATGGAGTGTCTTCGTGTTGTCGAGGATCCAACATGGGGAGTAAAATCAGATGGATAAGGTAGGCTCGTCAAGCCATAGATGCAGATCTTATTCGGTCCATCCCCGCCAGATTGCTTTGCTGGTTAGTTCAATGCTTCAGGGGTGTGCGTCTCAGTATTTGACATGTACCTAGACCCCAGCATCAAGATGGGCGGCCCTTTTGATTGACAATCCTGGCTCTGAAGCATCTAGCGGCTCAGCCTCGTGCTCTGGTGCTCTGGGGGCTTAGAAGAGGGGATTAGGCTGGAGGGGGTCATGTCGCATTGAGGTGTCTCTTGCTCTTTCCCGCTCCAGCAGAACCGCAGCCGCGCCAAACGGAGTCTGTGCAACGACGGAGGGGATGGGAAACGGAACTCGGCCTCGGAACGGTCGGATCGGAGCCACTCGCACTGTACAACATGGGGTTTCTAGGTGCCAGAGCTGTGTCAATCGAGAACATCGCACGGCTCCCGACATCCTCGGATCGTCTTGTCCCAACCTCCACATCACAACAATTCAGACCTCCTCATTCAGCTGAATGCACCCATCGCACCACTCTCCGAGATCAGATCATGCAACCGATCGTCACGTCCCCCATCTCTCCCCACACTCCTGGACAAACCCACACGCAGCCAGCCGTGAGCGCGCCAACCCCTTCCCTTCATTCAGGTTCCACGAGGCACACGCGCCCGCATGTCCAAGCTGACGCCCTCGCCTAGCCATGGCCTCGACCCAGCCCTCGCTGCCGCAGCAGGCTTCAACAACCCCCTCTTCTACAGGAAGCGGCCGCATGCCCCCGGATCTCGTCCCGCCCCAGCATTCACCCGCCGAGCCTCCGCTCGCCTGCCGCCAATGTCGGGCCCGGAAGGTAAGCTCCCCCTACTGCTGTTCCCTACCGAACTCCGACTTCCGCCTGCCGTCCTCGGCTTGCTCTTGTCTCGGCTTGCTCTTGTCTCGGCTGGCCTTGTCTCGGCTGGCCCTTGTCTCGGCTTGTGTTGTCTCGTGTGTATATGATGCGGTTTGCGACTGGCGATGGTCGTGGTTCGTCTCATGTTGCTCACCACCTGCTGACCCGCGCGCGCGCTCTCTCTCTCTCTTAGGTGAAATGTGATCGCCGACAGTCTGGCTGTCTACGCTGCGAGCGTCTCGACCTACCCTGCTCGTACGCCGGCGGTGCTAGCGCTGAACTCGAGGACCTTGATGAGGACCTGCCCCAGGAAGAGCTCACCCAGGCCGGTACCAAGCGCCGTCGTATACGCCGCGCGTGCGTCCCCTGTCGCTCGCACAAGGCCAAGTGCTCCGGCGCCCAGCCTTGCTCTCGCTGTGCCTCCAACAACCTGCAGTGCATCTATGGCGACGCCGAGCAGGGCCGTAGCCTGCCCATCGGACACGGGACCACGTTGTCGTCGGGATCATCGTCGGCCGTCACCAGACATCCAGCCGGACTTGTGACGAGTCCTAGTGCCGTCACCGATGGACGCTCCGTGCCGACGCCCGGAAGCCGTGGCAGCTTCACGAGCGAGGCGGTGCGCTATGAGGCCCTGCTCGACCGGCCGAGAGTCTTCGACCTCGACAGAAAGGACGTCATTCGTCAGTGCCTGGATGCCTACTTTGAAAAGACGGACCTCGTCGACTGCCCGTTCCTGCACAAGGCCTCGCTGATGGCTGACTGGAACCAAGGCAAGCTCGACAACGAGCTGCTCAAGGCCGTCTGCGCTGCGGGTCTACGGCTCATAGGACCGGCGCAGGAGGATGACGACTCGGTGCCCCATGCCTGGATGCGGGAGGTGCGCAAGGGCATGCTGACGAACCTGGGGACGACGACCGTCGCTGAGCTGCAGACCATGGTGCTGTACATCAAGTTTGGCTTCACGTCGCAGTTCACCGAGGATGTCTGGACGTTGCTGTCCGTCGCGGCGCGCATGGCCTTCACGAAGCGGCTCAACTATGAGCGACCGTCTGTCGAGCCTGTGCGGCGAGAGTGTCTGCGACGTCTGATGTGGGGGATCTATTTTCTCGACAAGATCTTCTCGAGTGGCATCGAAGACTTGGCCGTGTGCCCGACACACCGACTGCACATTAGGCTGCCGAGCAACGACTACTACTTCCAGCGAGGGCTTGCATCAAGGTCGCAGTACCTGCACGAGAAGGGGGATAGCTCCGGTGCCGACATGGATGCTATTGCGTATCGCATGAGGTTGATGGATCTACGGGACAGGATACTGAGGTGAGTAGCATTGTGCAGTGGTTTACGTGGCGCTGCACACGACTGACTTGCGCAGATACACGAAACGGGTTATTCGAAGTGGCACCAGCCCTTCCAACACCAAAGACGAGCTCCTGTCCCTCGACCGCGAGCTGCAAACCTTCAGAGAGAGCCTCCCCGAAGAATTGCAGCTCACACCAAGCCGGCTCATGTTCATGTGCCACTCGCGCGACTCGACAGCCTACATCATCCTGCACTCAACGCTCATTCTGTGTCGGTGCGACCTGCATCGGTTCCTCGTGCCGGGGATGAAGGAGACGGTCTCGCCGGAGGCCATGGCTGCCACATCGCAGGAGTACATTGCCTACTGCCAACAAACGTGCATTGACAGCGCCGTCAAGCTCTGTGACATGTGGTCGCAGGTGTACCACCTTGACGCCCACCGCCTGATCGACAGCCCGACGCTCACCATCACGCTGTATCAATGCGTCAAGGTCGTGGAGCATGCGTACTGGCTGCTGCCGCAGCATGGCGAGCACAGCCTTGTGAGCATCAAAGGCAAGCTAATGGAGGCGCTGTGCATGGCGAGGCGCATCCAGGAGACATATGCCTGGCTCCGGCCTTGCGTAAGTGGACCACTGTCTGGCTGCAAGGGGTTTTCCTGCTGACCATCCGTAGATTGCCGACATACAGAGACTTGTGCCGACGTTGGGCTTGCGCGGCCGCCCATCAGTCTCACCGTGAGTTCCTCTCCCCATCCACGAGTAGGCATCTTCTAACAGTCTGCCCAGCCCCGGCGGCCCCAACGATCGACAGGTACACTTCCACTCAAAGTATGTCTTCGCCCCCGATAAGATCGATCCGGCCGACGACCCTGTCGATTCGACCTCGCCCGAATCTCGTGCTGCGGATCCGACACCCTCATTCGATGCAGAGCTCCCGCCGCCTCAACAGCCGCTGCCACCGCCGCCGCCGCCCCAGCAACAGCAGCAGCAGCAGACTCCTTCGCAAACGAGTGCCAACTGGCACCCGTTGAATACGCCCAACATGCCACCGCCGCCCCAACAGTACGGCACGCCGTTTGCCGGCGGTTACACCCCGCAGGACGACGGCGGCATGCACTACGGGTCAGTTCACGTCGTGCCGACGCACCAGGCCAACGCCGCGGGTTTGGCTGTGCCTTTTGAAGACCCAGACATCATGATGCCGCTGGATCCATTCGATCTGCAGCTGAATGCGTATACTGATTACGACTTTCCTTCTGTGTTTGGTGGATTGGATTAAGGAGCGTGGGATGCGGATCTGTGTGTGACAAAAGTGTGTTGATTGCCTTGCTCAAATTGTGTGTACGAAGTTAGGACTGAAAAGCGTGAATACCCATATAAGACTGTTTTGATCGAGACGCAGCCGTGGCCATGGGCGCTGGCATGAATCCCTGATGTACTGGGTGTAAACCATGCGGTTCGTGGGTGTTGCTTTGCGGTGATCCGAAGATGCTGGGCGACACACACAGGATGCAGCACGTCGCCATCGACACGCTCGATTCCGGCAATGCGCCGCTCTCCAAAAGAAACTCTCGCAACTTGATCCACGTCGGGAACCATGTCATGATACCTGAAACGCAGCACCTTGTGTAGCAGCGAACCGTGCGCGTGTTGGCATCCCAAAGTGTCGTTCTGCAGCAGCACGGACGTGGTCGATCGGTCTGTTCCATCGATCTAGCCAGCCGGGAATCATGTGCGACGATGCCTGCCATCCCATCTTTCGTGTGATGTTTCTCGATAGAAATCAGAATGACTCGCGTCTCTGTTGCGGCTTCTGTACAATGAAATAGTCAGACGCGGCGGATGAGGCTTAAGAGCAAGAATAGACAAGCCCTTAGAGGATCTAGGCCCCTCTGACGGCGAGCAAGCCAATTGATTGACCGTGCCCTACAGATGACCCGGTTCATGGATGGGGCACATCGCCTGATTCGCGTGGGCGCAGAGGAGTCGTCTTTGCTTTTCCCACGTCTCCTCTAGGTTGATTTCAAACTTCTGTCAAGTCTGTCAAGATACGTGACAGCGCCATGGCAGCTGCCCTCGGATCTCGCGCGTTGGGCACCTGTTCGTGTTTGCTTTTCGCGGTGTCGTGGGGACATAAGTACGATGGCCCGGATGGCTTCGATCTAGAAGGATCACTCGGTCTCGGAGGCTCAGTTTCTTCATACGTTCATTCTACGACTATCTTTGGCCAGGCGCCATATACCTGACCGCTGCCCTCTCTGAGCTCAGTCTTGTCCATCTCGGCTCGTTTTTGAAGATAGCAACCTCGAAATGAAGTTCTACACACTCTTCTCGCTATTCACGGCCCTGGCTTCGGCCCTTCCGGTCAGCGATGAGCAACCTCACGCCCTCGAGGCCCGCCAGTCCTTCAACCGAAACGACCTCGAGCGCGGCTCCTCCACCGCCTGCCCCCGCGTGATCTTCATCTATGCCCGCGCTACCGGCGAGCCCGGCAACATGGTGAGATCCACGCAACCTCAGCCTGTTGCTCCATGATCATCACGAACAGAGCTAACACGGAGAACAAGGGCACATCCGCTGGCCCCGCCGTGGCCCGCGTCCTGGAAGCCAAATACCGCAACGCCGTCTGGGTCCAGGGCGTCGGCGGCGCCTACCGCGCAGACCTCCTCTCGAACCTCCAGCCCGCCGGCGCATCCGCCGCCGCCATCGCCGAGGCCCGCCGCCTGCTCGACCTCGCCGCCTCCAAGTGCCCGTCCGCCCGCGTCGTCACGGGCGGCTACAGCCAGGGGTCGGCCGTCATGGCCGGCGCGCTGGGCGGCGCGTCGCAGCGCACGAAGAGCCAGGTGCAGGGCGTCGTGCTGTTCGGGTACACGCGCAACGCGCAGAGCGGGGGCCGCGTGCCGGGGTTCCCGGTCGAGAGGACGAGGGTCTTCTGCCGGGCTGGGGACATGGTCTGTCGGGGGTCGTTGATGGTTGGGCCGGCGCATTTCGGGTATGCGGGTGACGCTGCGGGGCCGGCGCCGCAGTTTTTGATTCAGAGGATCGGGGCCTAGGCGGCATGATGGCTGTTTTTGATCAATGTTGGACGAGGTATTCGGGAAAGATGTTGAGGGCTTCCGCGGCCACGACTTCAAGGGGCAGTGATTCGTGTACATATTTGAATACATTCTATGACTACTGGGGAGAAAGCCATTCCTACTGTCCGAAACCCATGATTCCTGGCGTGTCCCTCACGCTTCCACAGCGCAGATTACCGGCACCATCAACGAGGACGGATGATACATTGCCTGGCGCTGTGATGGTCAAAGGTCTTTGTAGGACGTCATGCTGCTGTGACCCTTTGGCATTCGAGAGCCATGTCTATCTTGGCCTCCGCTGAATCTCGTGACTGTTATGCTACTACGTGGTGAAAGGGTTGTAAGCCCTGCCAAGCCTCTCGGCCGACTCGCGCAGCTTGCTGTTTTGCTTCCTCAGGTACATCTTGGAGACGCCAGCCATGGTGAGAGCGAGCGATGCAAATACGATTTGTAAGATCATGGCCATGGTGAAGCGCGGTGCATCCCTGTCGGGGAAGAAGTACGGAGAAATGACGTTGCCGATATGTCCGCAAATGTTGACAATCGCACCACCTGCCGCCCGCTTTTCTGGTGTCTGCCCAAGCGAGGAGACAGCCCAGGTGTAGACCAGGGCGTTTGCGGAAAAGCTGCCAGACGTGTAGAGAAAAGCTGCCGTGTACCGCGCTGCCGTGTTAACCGTAGCGACAGTGATGATAAAGCCAGTGATAGAGCAGCCGAGGTTGGCCATGATGTGGAAGCCACGCTCACGCTTCCGGTCCGAGTTCCACGCAACAAGGAATGAAACTATCGTGCCCCAGACGTAGGGAGGAGCGGTCAAGAGCAGTGAGACGTTGTCAGAACCGAGGTTAAAGCCCCTGACCATGGTGGGGAAGAAGTTGTTAAAACCGTACGACGAGGTGATGAAGATGTTCATGAAGATGAAGATGTAACACTTGACATCTGTTACGGCGAGTTTGAGGCCGTGCCAGACACTCAAGCCTTCTGACTTTTCAACGCGATCGTCGAGGATGCGAGCGACGGCAACCTTGCGCATGTCCGAAGTCATCGACCACATGGCGCTGCCATTCTCAGACTGTGGGTAGTTTGGAAGAATGAAGAATGCTGTCAAGGCAAAGAAGGCGCTGGCCGCACCCTCGAGGATGAAAAGCCACTGCCATCCGGCGAGGTTCATGGCACCGTCAAGTCCTGCGAAGACGCCTGCGGCGATGAGGCCGGAGAAGGCCTGCGCGAGAACTAACCCAGAGTACAGCAGAGCGGTACGCAAGGCCAATTCTCGACGGGTGTACCAGCAGGACATGAGGAATACGGCCTGAATCAATGTATTAGCAGAGGGGTTGGCGGTTTTTAGTACTGGGAAGACTTACACCTGGGAACAAAGGTGCCTCAATAATTCCGAGAACAAACTGGACACCTAGAAGGCCCCCAGCGCTGGTGCACCCTGCCGTTGCAGCAGAAATGGCAGACCACAGCATGGCGGCGGTGGGAAGGTAAACAGCAGGGCGAACACGCGTGATCAACATGTTGGATGGCAGCTGAGCTAACATGTATCCCACAGTCAGGATAGCCACGGCCGTCTGGGAATTGTCAGTTCAATCGTCGTAAATTCCTTGAGATCCTGACCTACTTGGTAATCTCCATCCTCCAGGCCAAGGTCCTCATCAAACGTATTCAGTCGGGCTTGTGCAATATTGACCCTGTTGAGGTAGTTGAACATGTAGAGAATCCAAAGCTGAGGCAGCATGGTCATATCCAATCTGCGGACTACCTTCTTCTCAAGGTCTTTCCAGTTCTCAAGGCCGAGATTAGCCACATGATCGATATCGAGGCACGCGTCTGCTTTCTCCTGCTCCTGTTGCGTGACGGTGTGTGACGGGATACTCTCAAGATGCTCTGTACTATGGGTTTGGGTCCCGGGTGTCCGCTGGGCAGGGGCCTCTCCACCAACATGCGGAGGCTTAGCCTCCTTGTTGTCGGACATATCGATGAGAAGTCGTGCCGAATGTCAAAAGAAGAATGGAAGATGAGGTCGGGGTGCCCAAGGTCACCTGGCCAGTGAAAACTTTGCGCGGGACACAGTCGATTTGTAGGCGGTCTTGGGATATTCGACGTCATCTTGTCTATGCCCGTTGTCTCACCAAACTGCCAAGCAGTGGAGAGTGGTGTGCCAAGGCAACATACCCCAGATCATCAAAGCCAATCCATTGCCAAGTGCCAACCAGAGCACCAACCCCGCCGTCATCTTGACTTGCAACCGTGGATAGAAGTATCCAGATCGACCAATTGTGAGCCCCTCATGACACCGGGCCAAGAGATGGTTCAGACTTCAGGTGGAATGATACCATCGCGGCAAGCAGTGGGTGTGGAGGAGTCGGGCATGGCTGACTCTCAATCTGCAATACCACCTCCCATTTATGTTCGACTTGGCTTCCGAGTTATAGACGTGACGTGCGCCTGATTTATGAACGGAGAACAGAAAAACTACCGTAGTGCAATACCAAGACGAAAGATCTACGGATGGTTGCGCGAGGCTCCAATGCCGAGAGCATAACCATTCTCTTTTCGTGGTCCCTGTGTCCAATCAATCAACGAATTGCACTCCCCTCTCTCAAGCAACAAGCTTTGTCTTCGTCGTGAGGCATCAAATGTTTCGTATTACGGGCAACCCTTACTCCGCGGTGGTTCTTTTTCTCCGTGCTACATATCGCCAAGTCCGATCTTTCCCGATGATGCTTACCGCCATGGAAATACTCGACGTGATAACAGTGGGTTTTATGGAGAGCTCCATGTACCTAGACACGGAAAAGAGAGTCACTGAGTCGCGTTAACTTCAAATGGGTTAAAGCAGGATAACGATCCAACCTCGCGAATGAGATGCCGACCGAACAGTGAAGCTGACGATGTTGTCAGGACCACTGAATCATGTCCATTTCTCCACATGGTAGCCTAATGTCTCCCCGCAACCTTGGCTTCTGGAGTTCACCTCTTCTATCTTGTTGAAAGAGACCTGCCGGATCGGACTCCTTGAGTCTGGCTGGATCGCTCATCATGCTGATACGCAACCCGGCATCAAAAGCCAAACGCTTCATGACTGCACATCTCCGGAAAGCTCCGGGTGCAAACTTGACTAGAAAAGTTATCAAATCATCTAAAATTATCAGAAAGACGAGTTAAAACAAAGAAAGCAGCAGGACAATGAAATATTTGCTTCCTATCATGACCGTCGTCCAACTCTGTGTCACAGCATCAGTATTATATCATCTTCCACAGAGAATGGCCTCTTGCTGCTTGAAGCTGCACTGATGTCGTACAGTCTTGATTAATCTAGCAATTTATGTATTCTTGATGAATAGGAGAAAGACAGCATCTCGCAATTTCAAGTTTCTGCCCTGGACCGAAGCACATCGAACAGCCCAAAGGTGACAGGTCGCCCTGCGGAGCCGCCGAACAGGGGGTCCGATTACGGGCTAAGGGCTACGAGAACATATATATAAGGACTACGGAGGGCCCCCCAAGCTGCAGTGTGCTAGACTTCAGATGTATTCCAACCCCCTGCCTACCTTATGTTTTGTTGCCTGCGGATCACGTGTGAAAGACCTGCACTTTGCTCTCAATCAAGCACTGACAACATCGTGTTGATATTTCATCTTAACATGCATTGTCATCCGGAAGTCCAGCCTGCGCCACAAACTATGCAGCGAGGCGCCTTGACTTTGTGTAGATTGAATTGGGACAGCCGTGATAAAGTTCTTATTGAGGCCCGCATGCAATGGCCAAAGACGTTCCTCCATCTCTTAGGCCCGAGAGCGATCGTGGGTATAAGGGTACAAACTGGGCGCTCCAGATAAAATGACAGAATTGAGGTTCCGGACCAGCTACATGATGTCGCTTGATCGCATTATATCAGATGAGAATCTGTCGAGTAGACAGTCTAGCCGGCTCCTTGGCTCCAAAGTACACGAGACCGTTCTCGGGTCTTAAAGGGAAGGGCTTGGCGGCATATACGGACAACGAATTGTTTTGAAACCATCAGCGAGGGGGGTTTCAAAAACCCCGCCTCGCTTTTTGTCCTTCCCGAGGCCCCGTGTCTCACAAGCTGCCTCGGACACCAGCAAGGACGAATGGTTGTCACATGTGCACGTGAAATCTGTGGCTTGAGCGAAGCACGAAGTGTAATAGAGCTCATTGTTTTGAAGGTTCAATAGCAGCAGAGTTCGGCGGGCTGACCAAGCCTATCGTCAGCTTTGCCGGTGCTTCACATGTAGTATCGTCTCAAAAATAGATTATCTGATGGACGATGAACCCTTTGCAATGCAGCTTAAGCACTAGATGCGTGCCGGACGGAATGTGACTCGTCCTCTAAGCAGACAAGACTTCGCGGGTCGACGGCAAGGTTCATTTACAAGCCACATGACCACGAGCCCCAGACTGTAGATCTTGATTGCCATACCACTTGATCCAATGAGGGGCTTGTCGGAGATGGTATTTCCAAACTCAAAACTGCGGAACGGTAGATGCAGACTACCCACAAGATTCGCGGAACAGCTAGAAATCTTCCGAATTAGATAGGTCGATCGCAAGGAACGGTATTGCTAGCGGTCGCTTGTGTCCCCGGAGTGCTCGTGGGTCAGATCTAGGTGTCGTTGCGCGGAGAATTTGGTGCACACCCACTATGGGAGGCGAGATCCGAAGGGGGGTTCAGATTCTTCTGCACGACACCCGGGGCGCTTCCAGCCTATTTTCAACCTTCCTATTCTCGCTGAAATCTAGAACGGTTTGCGCCGGAACGGCCACCATCTTCGGAAGGAACATCCACAATGTTAGATGTCTTAAGGGACTTCGTGGCCCTTCGAGCCATGATACGAGGGGCAATGAAGAGCGAACAAGATCATCATCTGTTTGATTGATCGTTCCACGCTCACCGTCAACAGCTGTCGCACCGTCATCGTTGCGCGCATCGTCTTTCAGCTGTCGAGATGGGCCGCTATATTTCGCAGCTCGACGTTGAGACCGTCCTCGCGACCCTGACGATCGATGAGAAGGTTGGTCGTCCAGGCTCATAGCTTTTCACATGAGGCTATCAATAGAGACTGAATCACTAACTGGCAAACCAGATCACACTGCTTGCGGGCAAGAGCTTCTCCGAATCAGCAGACATTCCTTTAAAGGGCATCCCGTCCATCAAATCCGTCGATGGGCCCAATGGCGTCCGTTCAGCAGCCACGGATGAGTTGATACGCTCAGCCTGCTTCCCAGCTGGCTGCTCTCTCGCCGCGACCTTCGACCCCCTCGTCGCGCGCCGAACTGGTCGCGCTCTCGCCGCTGAAGCCCGAGGCAAGCGCGCTCATGTCCTGCTCGGCCCGACGGTCTGCATCCACCGCCATCCACTTGGCGGCCGCAACTTCGAGTCCTTCAGCGAGGACCCCTTTCTCGCGGGCAAAATGGCGTCACAGTACATTCTCGGCCTGCAGGAGTGCGGTGTTGGCGCCACCATCAAGCATTTCGTCGCCAACGAGCAGGAGACCAAGAGGACCACCGTCGACGAGACCATCAGTGAGCGCGCGCTCAGGGAGATTTACCTCAAGCCCTTTGAGATTGCCGTCAGGGAAGCAAAGCCCTGGGCCGTCATGACTGCGTATAACCACGTCAACGGACAACACTGCGACAATCACGAGTGGCTGCTGAAGACGGTGCTGCGCGGCGAGTGGGGGTGGAAGGGCCTTGTCATGAGTGACTGGGGCGGCACAAACTCCGTGGCCGCGGCGCTTAACGCTGGCCTAGACCTTGAAATGCCTGGACCGCCGAGGATACGAAAACTGCAAGCCGTGAAGGACGCAGTGGCGAAGGGGGAGGGTGACAGAAGACGTTGTCGATGACCGAGTCGGGGGGGGTCTTGGAGTTGGGCGTTTCAAACTCAAGGCATTTGAAGCCGAGTCAGACCCCCTAGAGCTGGGCGTGTCGACTGATAAGCCCGAGCTGAGATCCATCATACGAGAGTCTGGTGCTAGAGGGATGGTGCTTCTGAAGAATGATGGCGTTCTGCCTCTGAAAAAGGAGGAACTCAAGGGCAAGAGAGTCGCGCTCATCGGCTTCGCCAAGGACGCCCTCGCGCACGGAGGTGGCAGCGCCGCTGTCAACGCCTACTACAAGGTGACGCCTTGGGACGGTTTGCGTGCAGCCCTCGGTGACGATGTCGAGTTCGCCTTTGCGCAAGGTGCCCATCGCGAACGTCTCTTGGCACCGATCAACAGGAACGGCAGCAGCGGCGCGGTTCTCGGCCTCGATGGCCAACCAGGCTTCACGCGTCTGCTGTTTGAAAACGGCAGGTCGGAGCCCTCAAAGACGAGCCACGGTCAGACCTTGTCGGCGTATTCGCCCCTCGGTTCCCAAGAGTCGCTGTGGCGGGCCCTAGAGATCGTTGCCGACTTCACGCCTCTGGAGTCAGGTTCACACTACATTGCCTGCTCTGGCCTGGGTCCGACCAAGGTTTATGTTGATGACAAGCTCATCTGGGAGCAGACGGGTAATTCGAGCGACCCCATGGGCTCCCTTTTCTTGGCAGCCCCCGAGGAAGAGTTCCGGCATCACTTTGAAGGCGGCAGGAAACACCGTCTCCGTATCAGGAGTGACCCTCCTCGCAAGATTGGCCTCGAGATCCTCGAAGGCCGCAGCGGCGTACGCGTCGGCTTCTCCCTCGAATCGGTCCATGACGCCGACCTACAGGCCGAAGCCGTGGAAGCCGCTCAGGCAGCCGACCTGGCCGTTGTCTTCACGGGCCACGATCCCCAGTGGGAGACTGAAGGCCGCGACCAAGATTCCTTCAATCTGCCACGTGGGCAGAATGAGCTCATCGCCGCTGTGGCCGCGGCGAACCGCAACACGGTCGTTGTCAACTCGACAGGCGTCGCCGTGGCCATGCCCTGGCTGGACCAGGTGCGAGGACTCGTGCAGGCGTGGTTCCCAGGCCAGGAGTGCGGCAACTCGATCGCCGACGTGCTCACTGGTGCTGTTAATCCCGAGGGCCGTCTCCCTATGACATTCCCCCAGAAGATCGAGGATGCGCCGGCGCATGGAAACTTCCCCGGCGAGTACGTCGATGGGCAGTTGAAGGTGACGTACGAAGAAGGTGTTTTTGTGGGATACCGCCACTTTGACCGCCTCACCAGGGACAAGGTCAACTTCCCCTTCGGCCACGGTCTCTCGTATACGAGTTTTGAGTATGGCGCGATGGAAGTGGCCAAGACGCCGCATGATAACGATAGATACGCTGTCAGAGTTGATGTAAAGAACATTGGAAGCGTCGAGGGTGCCACGCTGGTGCAGGTTTACGCCGGCAGCGCGCAGGCTTCGACCGACACGCCCATCAAGGTTCTGGCTGGATTCCAGAAGGTGCGTCTTCAGCCTGGCGAGGTGAAGAGAATCGAGATTTTCGTCTCAGTCAAAGACTTCGCGTCGTTTGATGAGGCCTCGAAACAATGGGTGATTCAAGGTGGAGAATACGCCATTTCGCTGGGCGAGACTGCGGCGGATATCCTGCAGACCACTATCGTGGTACTCGCGGCAAAACAGTGGAAGCCATGAGTGCGTTTCTTTTCACCGACTGTTGTAAATCTATGCGTCAGGAACAAATAATACGAGGTCATGATCTGAACGATTGTCGAGCCATCTAAAATAAGGTGTCGTCGGTCATTGTTTGTGTAACCTGATGAAGATGAACGCGCGCTGATTGTTGCATCGGCCTGCCCTGAATACCCTGGCAGGTCGAATGAGACCAAGGCAGTGTGATATGCGAGGAAGCTAAGAGCACAACTTGGGGACTATACGCCACTTCTAAATTGCACTGCCTGCCTTTAAAGAAAGCGAAGTGTGGTTCTAGAGGGAACTGGCTCGTTGATCTCAAGATTTAGGTTTGCTCGCAGGATCATGCCTGCGAGGTTGAGGAACCTCGCAAACCATCAGGCCTTCCCTCATTCGCCAGCTCGCATTGATTACAGAAGCATCCACTCTCATCAGGCACGGGCTATGTGCAGCCTGTACAGCCCATCTCGGATTCCTAAGACAAATCCCCCTCCCCCACTGGATTCTATTGAAGATTTCGGAGATTTAAGCTGATGCTGCACAGTGCAAAGGCTTCGCGGCGCTGATCCTGCAAGTTCGGTCAGAAAATCCAGAGGCGTAATTGATCCTCTAAATGTGACGCGTCGAAGACCGAGCCGACGAATAAGTGCTCGACCACAAAGCCTCCCAATCCTATATGATGGATTTCCAAACTCCCAGGCACAGTGAATGCCGCCGAGTTTGCGACGCCCAAGTGCTGTCGTCTGGGACTATTGTAGTTGGACGGCTCGGACTGTTTCGCCTAAGCTTGCGCGTCGTTGAGAACTGTGCCAATAAGAAGGATGAACATTTGACAAACTCAGAGTCACTTGATAGATATATAAGTGTCCAGGTCTGAAGAGATCTATTATCATCAATTAACCGCAACCGCATGCTCCGCTGCATTCTTCTGCAAACAAGTCTCGCCTCCTCAGTGCTGTTCTGGTAGTCGTCCTTCCAGCCTTCCAAAACGATCAACTCTTTCGCGATCTGGATCGGAAGGGATCAAAGTGCCTTGCCGCTCTCTACAAACAATATGAAGATCACGATAGCATTGATCGCTCTATCGTGGCTGACGTGGGTTGCCGCCCATTGTCCTCCCACTGGCGCTGTTTTGCCCAACCCCAAGATCAGTTCGAGCGACAAAGTGGCATCAGCTCTCAAGAGAAGCTTAGACAATGTCGTCAAGGCCTGCCAAAACGACTTCAACATCACGACCACGTCTTTTTCAGTCGCGATCACGACATCCGATGATACTTTCTTCGAGTTCCACCACACAGCACTGCTTCGTAACGACATAGGCGTCGATACAGTCAATGGAGACACCATTTACCGTTTAGGATCTGTGACGAAAGTTTTTACAGTCTTGTCCCTACTTTTGGAGGAAGGTCTGAATCTTGATTCGCCCGTCTGGCAGTTTGTGTCGAAGCTGGAGAATGTCGCCCAATATAAGGACACAACATTGAGGATGTTAGCAAGCCAGCTCGCTGGTGTCAACCAAGACAGTAAGAACATCCCCGAGCACCAGAAACAGCCAGGAAACTAATACCCTCAGGCTTTGTATATGACATCTCCGCAACGATCCCGCCTGTCATGCTGGCGCAGCTTGGATTCCCGAAGATACCCATACCCGAGGGCCTGCCGACTTGTGATGCGATCCAGATTGGCGAGGCTCCTTGCACTCGTAGACGCAAGTTATTTCTGCAGACCATGCCAATTTGACGTAATCTATACTGATTCGCGCAGAATTCTTTGATGGACTCAAGTTCTCGAACCTTACCTGGCAGCCCGGCACCAACGCTGCATACAGCAATCTTGCCTACATAATCCTCGGCTTTGCTGTCGAGAATATTACGTCCTCCTCCTACGCCGATGCCCTGAATGACGGCATCGCCGTGCCCCTCAAACTCAAAAACACAGGCACCAGAGTGCCCGTTGTCGAAAATGGCATCATCCCCGTCGGCGGCCTCGAGTGGTATACTAGAACACTTGCCAACTACGACAGTACTGGCGGTATGTTCTCAACGCCACACGATTTGCAGTCTTTCATCCGCAGCATCCTCAACCACGAGCAGCTCTCCCGTGCCGACACTGCCATGTGGCTCAAACCAGTAGTCTTCACTGCCAATCCTGCCGAAGCCGTCGGTATGCCTTGGGAGATCTACCGCCCCAGCGACCTGACCCCCGACGGCCGCCCGATAGAGATCTACAGCAAAACGGGAAACCTGCCGTTTTACGCCGCGCACATTGCCTTGTTGCCCGCTTATGGTGTCGGTCTCTCCATCAACACTGCTGGCGAAGAGACCTTTAACGCCGTCAGAGACCTCCTCGATGTTGTGATTCGCACCCTCATTCCAATTCTCGAGTCCCTCACGCGAGCCCAGGCGGAAGCTACCTATGGTGGCACCTACACCTCCGAGACCGGCTCGCTGACTCTAGCCGTTGATGATGGCCCAGGCCTCAAGATTGAGGAGTGGGCGTTCGGCAATGGCAGCGTCCTCGATGCTTGGCTGGGGCTTCCTGGACGGGAGAATCTTATCAGTGTTGATGCGAGGGCATATCCTGTCGGTATAGACGACCGGTGGTTGGTGTATTTTGAGGGCCATTCGTCGAAGAACAAAACTGGGATCTTTGCGAAGCAGTGTGAGACATGGATTGCGCAAGACGGATTGAGGTTTGCGGGATTGCCAATCGATGAAATTGATTTCAAATTCGAGGATGGAAGGGTTGTCAGTGTAACATCGCCAGGTTTGAGGCAGGAGTTGCTGAAGGTCTGACGGGCTGGCTTCTATGCAAGGTCAAGTAGGTGGCGGTTTTGTGTTCTCTTTGGTGTATAGGTTCTCCTAGACTCGGATCAATACGGCTCTTGCTTAAATCTTTCGTCGTCATCGTAGCGAAATAAAATTCATCATGATTCAGAATGCCCTCCATCATTGGAACAGCCGAGTATTAAACAGGTGTTACCGGTTCCCGACTTCCATCTTGCTTCTCGCCCTCGCCGTCGTTCAGGTTTGCGCTAGGGTTATGCCATGTCCTGAACTGTCTGGCGGACAGCCCAAGCTCAAACATGCGATCTATTTCACCCGGGGTGCGACCTTTCATTTCTGGGACCTCAAAGAACGTAACAACAGTGGCGAAAAGACACAAGCCGGCAAACACGAAGCCCGTCTTCGCCCGAAGGTTGCCCTGATCAGGGTTGAAGATATACGGCAGCACAAAGCCGAAGATCGAGTTGCCAGCTCCCGAAGTGAACCAGCCGATGCCCTGAGCCTTGGCTCGTAGATGCAGAGCCGACGTCTCGGCGCTGACGACGTGGGAGCAGGGCCAGGCACCCAAACTCGTGGTGATCACAACAGCAATCATGGACGCCGCAGTATATCTGTTACCGGGTCAGCCTGGTCACGACGCACAATAATGGATGGTAAAAGGGGTTCGACTTACGCAACGACGACTTCGCCGGACCAGATGCCGCAGATACCCATACCCGCCCACAGCACAGAGGCAACACTCAACGAGATGAGCAGAAGTTTCCTCCTGCCCACCCGTGAGAGCACCCAGATACTGACGATATTGGTGATCAGACCACAGACGATGCCGAGCATCAGCAGAATGACACTTTTGTCGTCATCCATACCGACGATCTGGAGGAAGTAGCTCGACTTGGAGAGCAGCGTCAGGCCAAAGAGCTGCGGCAACAGGTTTGCAAACATGACAATCAGAGTGCGTCGGAGATTCGGCTTCCGGAACGAGTCCGTGTACGTCGCCTGCGCCTGTTCCCTCTCGTGCTCGATGTTCTTTTGAATGACGGCCAGCGCGGCGGGCGTGTCGGCGCCGGGCTCGTCGAGTCGCGTCTGCGCCTTGAGGGCCTTGTCGTACTGACCCTTGCGGATGAGGTACGTCGGGCTCTCGGGGATGAAGAAGGCGATGATCATGGGCAGGGCGGAAAAGGGCCACTGGGTCGCGAAGCAAATGGTGTAGCCGTTACTCAGGTCGAGACAAGCGAAAATGACGCCGGCGCCGACGAGCTGGCCAAGGAGCGTGAAGATGGGGAAGAAGGCGAGTAGCGGGCCGCGCAGGTTCGGCGGCAGCACCTCCGACATGTACGTCTGCGTCGTGGCCATGACCATGCCGATGGCGCCGCCCTGGAATCCCTTGCCGGCGAGGAAGAGGCCGCGTCGGGTGTCTATATCGCCTGAGAGGTATGAGACGAAGCAGACGGCGACGCCGATGGCCGACAGGAAGGAGCCGACGGCGAGGGACCCGCGGCGACCATAGCGGTCTTGGAAGAGGCCGCCAGCCAGAGCACCGATCATGGAGCAGCCCGGTGACGCAAAGTTCCAGAGGCCGAGCCATAGAGAAGGAAGGATCCATTCACCGTCGAGCTGGTAGCCAAAATCCTTTCTGCATTGTTCGTCAGCATACTTGGTGCTGTGGTCAGTTGGTACTGGGCACAATGGAGAAACTGACTGGAAGCTGGGCATGGCGGAGACTGTGCCGACGATAACATAGTCATATCCGTACATGAGGATGGCAGAGGTCATACCCATGCAATAGAAGACGATGCGACGCCATTTCCAGAGAGATTGTCGAAGCTTGAGGTGTGTGAACTCGTTCGTCTCGGGCGGTGCCGTCAAGACACTGCCATTACTTGCAACCCTGTCGAACTGCTCAACGGCAGCGACTTTCTTGTCCCCCATCGCGCAATGGGTTGCGGGCACGTCGTTCGTGTGCCGTGTGGAAATGGGGCAACAAAAGATGTGACCAGCCTGCAGGCGACCCTGAGGTAGTACCTTGTTAAATCGTCAAAAGTCACGCCCGAATCCAATAATGGTCTGCGAGCCAACACAGCAACCCAGCCAGCCAAAAGGTCAAGGCCATTAAGCACGACTGGGGGGGAGAGGCGAGACCAAGGTGTTTTTTTATGCTGCCCTTGCTCGAGAGGGGGCATGCGCACATGTTCATAGCAACCCTCTCCTGTGTGACCTGCAGAGCATGCCAAGCTCGAGCTGGGCAGGCATCTCTACATAATGTGGTAGGGTGCATCGCGCGCTAGGGTCCCCCATAGCCCAAGACGAGTTCGCCATCCGCCCGTGTTCCCTTGGAGCTATGGCGGCCCTGTGCCTGTCCTATGGGAGGTCCAGCGCCAGCAAAAGGCTCAGAGGCATGCCCCTTTCAGAGGCTTGGCACAGGGCCAAGGGGCCAGTGTTGACGCTCGAATAAAGTGCACGACATGGGACTACCAGGGGGAGCGGCAAGGGTCACAGGGCACTCGAGTCTTGGTTGACGGCGATGCTGTGCTTGACCCCTCATTTGGAGCCGTGATCTGGTCTTGGGGGGCAGCCAATCATGGCCGTACTGGGACAGATTGGCATGCGGGCAGCTTGCACCTTTTCTCGACGTGCCCTGATGTCTCGCGTTTCTTTGCAGCAGTTGGTGTGTGGCCGATGAGCCACGACCTCGGCCGGTCGATCTTGATGAGCATGTGGAAGTCTATCCAGAGACTCAGCCATTCGCACGAGGTAGGGAGAAAGAATAGTCAATATTGTTCACATGAAAGGTGGTGCTTCTAGGTTTTTGAAAAAGCACGCCTATGCAGAGCAGCTATTGTCCTCGAGCGCAACAATGCCTGTGCCTGTCTCACTCCGCGCCGTCACCAAACGCCGATCCTGGGAGCCGAGACTGGTCTGTGTTTCCTCTCTGCTCGGCACATGTAACGAAGCATGGGTACGATGAATCTCCCCAAGCCGTACGCCGGCCATTCTCACTTCAATGCGCGATCTCGTGCGACGGGTCCAATTCATGTGGCTGCCATGGTGGGAGATCGGTGACCCGTTCGCGGAGACAATATGTTCAGGGAGACTTGTTCATATTTGACAACTGCGTCTGCCCTTGTGTGTGCATGCGACTCGCGTCGTGCATCAAGCAAATCTTCAGCCGCTGTGGCCTTGAGTCAGATTTATGAGCTGGGGTTGGCACTGGTGATGATGGAATGAGGTGACCGAGTATTGATGTTGAACGAGCTTATTACCCGATCCTTGTCTAGTCATGGTTCGTACGGTTGTCAGAGAAGTGGTACTGGTCGGCTTTTGCAGTGCCTGTCGCCAGAGCATCGGTCACAGGCCGCCTGCCAGAGTCCAAGCGAGAAAAGAACCCAGGATTGCGCCGTTATCCATCTACCATTATACATGTCTCTCATTAATATTGCAATCACCAGCTGAAGCACTCCTCCACCAACCTCACCACCCCCGAGACACCTCTCCTCCTTAGCCCCCGATTAATGTCAACAATCACCCTCCGAACCTCGTCCGCCATACCCGCTGGGCCACTGACAACGACCACGATGTCTCCCCCCCTTCTAGACGTCTCTTGCCCAAGCACCTCTCTCACGTCCCACCTTGCTCCGACGCGGACATTTACATCCAGCCCCGGCCCCGTCAACTTGTCGACACCAACGTGCGTCACCAAAGCCGATGATCGGCACGCCCAGTACAGCGCCGTCCGAGCATGTGGCAACCTCGAGCGAGCTGCGAGGAGCGGGTTCACGGCCGTGATGCCTGCCCCGCCAATCACGCAGACGACATGCGGGTCTGTAGCGTAGCGATTGAGGGATAACGGCGGAGGTGCCGTCTCGACAAGCACGGGTAGAGACGGGGTGGCGGCGAGTCTCGCCGTCTGGCCCTTTTCCCGACGGATGAGGAACGTGAGGCAGGGTATCGGCGATGTATTCTTTGATCGCTCTTCATCGTCCATCTCGTCATCGTCTTGCTCTTCGTGAGCGAGGAGCGCCGTGCCAGAGTGGGGCGTCTGTGGGGTGACGGGCGTCAGCGGAATGCTGTCTGGGTGGAGGGAACGCTGCTCGTGCGAGGTGTCGTCAAAATCGTTGGCGCGTTCCTTCTCAAGATCGGCGCTTGCTTCCGAGTCGGAGCCTACGAGCTCGAAGGGGAGATCTCCCTCGGCGTCAGGTGCGTAGTCGAGGGCCGTGCCGTCTTGTATCGAGGACGAGATGGAGAAGGGGTGGTTCTCCCAGACACGCCAGCTGAGGGAGGGGAAATAGAGGTAGGCGTAGCCCGTCGCTTTGACGCCGGGTACCGTGACGGCTATGTACTCGTCGTCAATGACGGTGATGGCGGCGCGGCGTATACCATTCTTGGCCAGCTTTGCGAGGCGGGCGAGACGCTCGACCACCCAGATGAGGGAGGCGAGGTAGATCCAGTTTTCGTAGCCGTAGGCGTGGCTGAACTTGAAGTAGATGTGGTAGTAGCACCCAGCGACAGACAGCAACGCCAGAAGGACGTGCATGTTGAGGAAGAACTCGTAGTACCGCCGGCGTACAAAGAGCACGGACAGCGGAACCATGAGACACCATGCCACCATGGAGAGAGTGCCGATGGTCCAATAGGCCTGGGCAAACTTCTTGGGAAGGACGTGGATGTGGAGGGCAAGCCAGATGCCTGAGTGGAGCAGGGCCTGGAGGACGCACAGGTAAGCCGTCCAGCGGTGGTACAGGAGAAAAGAGCTGTACGACCAGCCTGTGAGCCTGACGAGTGGGTTGTTGCGGGTGGCGTAGAGGATGGCGACAGCGAGGTTGGCAAAGGAGAGGATGCCGACGCGGTTCGCGAAGAACTCCAGTTTGCGGACATTATCCACCGACCATGCTGAACCGACAGAGCTATACCCAAATATAGACAGGGCGAGGTTGAGGAGGAACTGGAAGCTGATGAAGGCCATCTGGCCCCTTGTTGGGAGAAGTCCAACATCGAGGGGAAGAGGGACCAGGTGGCGCTGGCCCCAGAGCGGGGGATAGATGAGTTGAGTCAGGACAAATGCCTCGAGTGTAGTAGAGCTTGCGAGGCTGCTCAACAGAGTAATGAAAATGGGTAGCAGGACTGCCGTAAGGACAACGATTATCCTAGCGCTTTGGTCAGCGTGTTGTGATGCTCAGAGAGGCATCTCAATAGTCATACGCATACTTGGAATTGGACGTCTCTACACGAGCAAACGTCCTCACCATGGCAAAGGCCCTGTCCCAGTCCTTGTCGGGAACGAGTTTTGCACCAGTCAAAACCTCATGCTCTTCCATCTCCTCGTTTGGTGCCTTTCCGGCCTGGGATAGGGCGTCATGGAAGCCGAGTCTTGGCGTCTCATGGTGGTCGGCCTGATTCCAGATGACATCGGCCCCCCAGAACTTGTCGATGGTCCAGGTCTCGAGCTCATCGCAGCGAGCCTGAATGCACCAAGCCAGTGACTGGAGATAGGAATCGTCCGTCGCAAAACACGCGGGCGTTGTCTTAAACTTGGACTCGTGGCCGCCGTGTCGCCTCTCTCTGGGCTTCGGCTCAACAGTCGAGCAGTTGAGGCGGTGCGGGGCAATGGCGTCCCGGCAGGCGAATGCACACGGAGGATCGTACATGTGGATGCCATAACCGATGAGGCCATGGGCCGACCCTTCTCCATGGCCATGGGCAACAGCATACCCGATCAGTTGGCATGAGATGGTCAAGGCGATGGCCAAGCTAGAGACTGCCCCTTTCCAGGCTGATGCTTGTGGGGCCATGAGTGGCGTCGTCTGAAGTACCAGTTACCCGGAAGAGTCGGTGCGGTGACGGAGGGCGCAAGTGCCCCGTCGTCGGTCGCATGGAATTACGATCTGCGCCTGGTCGGAAACGTGCCTCTGAAGGATGAATATCGTAGAATGTAGATGTCAAGTCGAGGAATTGTTTCTCAGGTCGACAGAGGGTTGAGGCTCGCCCGGTTCGGGCAGGCGCGAGCCGCCCATGTACAGTCAGCACCACAGGCCAATCAATGCGCTGGACGGGGGGGGGGGGGGCCCTTAGCGTCAGTCGGCGTAAACTTGCTCAATCTAGCGCCATCGCCCATCGCGCCGCCTCACCTCACCTCTCAGCCAACAGTCTTTCTACCTGTGAAACTCTACATCTCCGTGATGCTCGTCGATCCTTCATGCGCTGGACCTATTGCATCAATTTCCCAGGAGGTTTCTGATGTCGAGGAAAGCACGCCACGGCACATCATGACAGCGTACAGGCTTTGCAGATTCAGAGACCAAAAGCTTAAATGGCTGGGTTCGATCCAGACGCTGGCCATCCAGGTATCTCCAGGAGAATGCTACCAGACCTCAACCTCTCTACTGGATAAGAGCCAAACCGTGAAGATCTCCCGATTTGCAACATGACAAAGACATGAAATCATACATCAAAGTTGACCGTTATCGAACTTCCTACTACTGCCAAATGAGTTCGGTTCAAGGATAGTGAAGCTCACCAATGAACAAGAAATCATGGATATCTAACGAATAAGGTCCAGCTTCGAGGTACAGCAACGATCATCACCTGAAGCTTCAAGTTCTTGCCTTGCGTTTTTACATTGGAGTTGAAAGAGTTTCTCAGCCAGCGTCTAGAGACGGTCATAGCGAGACCGGGTATCGCGCTCACCAAACATAGGATAACGTGGCATCTCCAACCCATTGGCGACTTTCTGGTATTTCTACTCGAAAATTTCCCCTGGAAGGATAGGCCTCGGCTGGTGGAACCTTTCAGCCCATGCTGCGACGTCCAGTGCGTGGACGATTCCTCTATCTTGGCGATTCGTATTCGTATTGATGTCAGCGTGTCGAAGGATCGCCCGTCTTTCAGGCCCACGACCAACCTCATGAGGAAGAATCCTGACATATATAAAGTCATGAACACGACATTCCCTCTCGAAAGTTACTCCAACATCCAGGCAAGGTCTGCCAGATCTTCAACATGGCCAACGATAGCCCCCAAACGAGCAACCATGGGAGCACCAGCTCCTTTCCAGTCATCGTCCACCCCTTCCAGTCGCCTACTCCCGATTCCTGTGCCTATGAGATTGGATCGAAAGCCTCCTCGAATGCATTGATCTTTATCGGCGGCCTCACTGGCGGCCCACACACCAGCCGGACCCCACGCACTCTGGCTCATGGACTCGCTGATGCTTCAGAGCTGAACTACTCCGTCTGGGAGTTCCGCATGCGGAGTTCATACTCCGGCTTCGGGTTTTCCAGCATTGCCAACGATGTCGAGGATATCAAAGCTCTCGTCACCTATCTACGCAGCCGCGGAAAAAACAAGATAGTGCTCATGGGAGTCTCGACTGGTTAGCCGCCCAATCCTCCGTAACCAGTCTGAAGAAGGTTAACTGACTATTTGAGGAACAGGCTGCCAAGATTGTATCGAGTACACGAACCATGCCAAATATGATACGCCTCCCGTGGAAGGGTACATACTGCAATCTCCGGTGTCTGATCGCGAGACAGCAGGCATGAGCATGCCTGCAGACTACCTCGAAGCCACCATTGCTACGGCGAAACAAATGATTGCCGAGGGGAAACAGGAGGACGCCATGCCTCGGGATTCAATTCCCCCCGTCTTTTCATCCTTGGTGACAGCATACCGGTGGAACTCACTTGCCGCCAAAGGGTACGTGTAGACCGGGCCACCGGGATGAGGCTCGAAATAACCGTACTGGAAAGCTAACGTTAGCTGTAGAGGCGACGACGACTTCTTTTCCTCAGACATAAGAGACGACACTCTTGATACGACGTTTGGCAGGTTTGACAGACCTGTACTGCTGATGCCTGCTGGAGAGGATGAGCTCGTGCCGTCGATGGTGGACAAGGAGAAACTCCTGGCACGCTGGATGAAGGCATGCCCTCATGGCCTCGTGAGTCCTTTATCTGCTGTGAATCCTACGTCCGACCATAGCGTCACAGATTCGATGGCTCAAGGATGGATGCTGGAGAGAATCATGTCATTTTTGAAAACTATTTAAAGGTTACGAAACGTGGTATCTCTCACATTCCTATCCAGAAGAAGTTGATCGTTCATGTCATGGGAAGCCGGATATGGATTGCAATCGAAACATTCCCCGCGGTGACCTGAGCTCGCGGGTCTTCGAAGCCGCTGACGTGAGGCGCGGTAATTTGCACCAAGTGAGGCGCTGTATACCAGACTGAATTGCCGTTGTAGCAATCAAACCTGGCGTAGGCTCCAGGAGAGTATGTTGCCGCAAAGTCAAAATCTGGTGGCGCAGGCTCTTGTGCCATCCATAGACGTCCATCACGTACACCTATCGCGACGAGTACATGGCGATGCTGTCCAGGATACAGGCTCGGCGGGATGGTCAGGACAATGTAGCCATCAGGATAGAAATCCAGCACGCATTGCATGTGGTCTTCCAAAACGTCATACATGCCGTGAATCAGTGATGTGTAGCTGTGAGCTGTGGTCCGGAGAAGGCGCAGGTGTTCATCATGGGCCGGATCAGTCGGCTTGACAAGCGTCGGTCTTTGCTCTGCAGCATGATAGGGTTGGAATATGGGCAGAGTCCTGGGGTCTGTTGGGTACAGACAGGTGACTATGCCGGGTGTTGTCTTCCTTGAGCTGAGCGTAGCCCCGATCCTCGCGCGAGGCATGCCACTGCTTCCCACCGAGATCCATAGCATCATGCTGTCCATGTTGTCTGCTTGCCTTTTGGAAACGGTGAAGTACGGGAGGGAAATCGTTCCGAGCCGAGTCCGGTAGAAATGGCCGTTCGGTCGGTCAGTCCTCGGCCGCAGGATGACAGCAACAAATTGGAGTGGCCGTGTCTCTACCCGCGGAAGAGGTGAGCAAGCCAGAAATGCGAGGTAATAACCTTCAAAGAACTCGTCCAACTTCATCAATGGTAGGTGTATGTGCAGGCCAAAATTCGTGATGCTGAAATCAGGCTTCATGCGATTGGTGCTGTGTGGGAATGTGTTGACGAATGTCTTGTAGTCGACTACCCTGCGGCCGCTGAAATTGCGGAACATGCGAGGCGAAGGTGCTAGCATGCCGATGTCTTCTGGGCAGGGCAGGTCGTGAGGCATTGACCATGCGAAGATCGTGTGATCCGGATTCGTCCTCATAATCTCGCCCTGTAGCCTATGAAAAGCCTTGCGGCCTTCGCCGTAGATTGCCGGCATACAAACGCCAAAGATTCCCATCAGGGAGTATGCTTCGTCTTCAATCCTTGTGGTCACGTGCCTTGACGCCCACGACATTCGCGCTCCTACGCTGGCATCATGCAACTTGTCGCGGTTACGCAGGATCTCAGCTTCAACCCCTGTGATCTCTTCGAGTAAGGAGGCTATCAGAGTCTTGGATCCCAAGGAAGATCGACTCCATGTGTTGCTGATGAAATAGACTTCAGCAGGGGCAATTAGCTCTTGTAGCGTCCACCCTCGTGTGAACCAGGCACTCTGTCGGAAGGGCGAGTTGGCAGCATGCAATTCAATTGAGCCTGCCATGGGCACATCGTCGAGATATGCAAAGCATATGGTTGAGGCTTCATACCAGGCGTACATGGAGTTGATGGCTTCGGAAAGCTCTGCGCTGCTAGACTTGTCGATGCAGCATGTGTCGATCCAGGCATACTGGAGGTGGTAGTCCAACGCCCGAGTGCAGCAAGCCTGGATCTTTGCATAACCCTTCTTCGACTTTGCCGCCTCATCCTCGGTCTGAATCTCTTGGAAAGTGACCTCGTCAGACGACGAACCCCACCTGTGAGAGAGGATCGCGTATGGGGGGAAATTATCTTGGAAGAATTCCAACTTGAACGAGGGATTCGTGTGAGGATCGCGAGGATGAGGTTTGATGTGAAGAAGGTACATCTTGGAAGATCATCCCACTTGTTGGCTAATCTAATCGTGTCGGCCTTTGATGGACATGCATCTTGAAGAGTGAAGAGCACTGATGAGGCTTTTCCCCCCAAAAGGCGAATGGGTCACCCAGTATCAGCTGACCTGCTGTGCATAACCTCCATTCCTAGCATACAGCCATTGCAATCTGGTTTGTATCCGCGCCATCGTTGCAAGGGTCCCCCATCGTTCTTCAGCATCCCGGGTCAGCCAAGTGACAGCCATCATCATTCACATTCTCAATGTCCGGTGGCAGATCATGGTAAGTTATTTGCTGACCATGAGCGCCAGGCAGTGCGAAAAGAGGTCAATTGATGGCCACATTTGCTGGGATTGAAGTTTCATTCTCAAAATCTGTAGGCCAAACTCAAGCGCTAAATCAGCAAGTTTTGGACAAGACTACACTGGCTACGACGTGGGATAGTCATTTTGCTACATGCTCCGCTTAACAACAGTCAGGCCATGGCCCTTGACGCGTCAATCTTCTCTCTAATAACCCTTTAAGCAAGGCACTGCGAGTACCATGTGTTCTGCGGCTTGCACGTGTATCCGGCAGCGCACTGCGTGGGACCGGTCCATCCTTGTCCACCGCACTGTCCCCAGGGCGCCGCGACACCCGTGCCCGTGGCCGGTGGCGCGGCAGCAGTGGTGGTGGCGGCCCTGGTCGTCGTGGTGGCAGCTCTTGTCGTGGTAGCGACGGTGGTAGGCACAACAGTGGTGGAGGCCCTCACCGTCGACGTCAGAGTCGTCGTGCCCCTGGTGGTGGTGGTCGCGGCAGGGGGCGCAGCCGTCGTGGTCGTGCCCGCGGGCGGGGGCACGGATCCGCCGGAGATGGTGCCCTGGGCCCAGAAGACGCCGCGGCCGTTGGTGCCGACGTAGACGAGGCCGGCGTTGTTGCCACTGCCCTCGAGACGGTTGGCCTCGATGGAACCCCAGGCGATGGAGCCCTGAATGTCAGTCCACGAGGCACCGAGGTCGGCGCTGCCGTAGAGCTTGGGGCCCTGGGGACCGGTGCCGAAGGCGTAGAGGTTCCAGGTCGTGCCGGCGCCGCGGCCGAGGGCGATCTGGTACGTGTTGGTCACGGTTGAGGAGACGAGGGCGAAAGAGGTTCCGCCGTTGGTGCTGTGGAAGATACCAGCGTCGGTGGACACCCAGACGTCGCCGGCGACCTGGGGGTGTACAGCGATGTCGCGGATGACGGTGGCGCCGCTGAGGGTGCCGGCGGTGCTGAAGCTCGTGGCCGAGTTGGTCGAGCGGTAGAAGGTCGAGCCAGAGGCAGCGTAGAAGGCCGTGTTGTCGCGCTTGTCACTGGCAATCAGCGCGTTGTTGGGAAGGCTAGAGACGGCGGCAAAGGTGCCCTGAGTCTGGGAACGGCGGACGCCCTGGTTGGAAGAGGACCAAAGGACAACGTCACCATCGGCGGAGAGCGCGACGGCGCCACCATAGGCAACCTGACCAGCACCGTAGTGGATGTACCAGGTGTTACCACCATTGCCGGACAGGGCAACCTGCTCAGTGCCGCCAGAGTTACCGACGCGGACAACGTTGGCGACCTTGTTGCCAGCGTAATCAACGCTGGTGGATGAGGTGAACCTGGGAGTGTCCCAGACAGTGGCGGGTGCGGTACCCAGAGAATTCTTGTTTGGGAAAGTGAAGCCACTGTCATCGCCAACGGCAGAGAACAGCTCGGTGCCACCAGGAGCAGACTTGACCTCAAGGACAGCGAACTCCTCGATACCGTCGGCAAGCGATTCAATGGTGATATTGTGAGTGGTGTCCCACTTGGTCAAGTCGTGGCCTCCGTAGACGGTCAGACCAGTGCCGTAAAGCCAGTGGTTAGAGTCGTGGGGATCAATTTCCAGAGCCTCAATCATCCAGCCAAGCTTCTTGGTGTCGACGGAGATGAAGTTCTTGAAGATCCAGGGTGCCTTAGGTGTGCTAATGCTGTAGTAGAACTCCTGGTTGGGGTAGCTGGTCCACTTCCACAAGGTAGACCAGGTGGTTCCTGAGTCGGTGGAACGGTAGATCTGTGCATCAGGGTACCACGAGTTCAGCGTGGCGACGATGAGGGTACCAGGCTTCTGAGCATCAACCGAAAGACCACCGAAACCGAAGTAAAGATCACCACCCGAGGCAGGCGTAATATCCTTCCACACGCTGGTGGTGAGGTCGTAGCGCCAGACGGAACCAGAGGTACCATCGTAAGGGCCGGTGCCGTCGGAGTAGGAGAGGTAGAGAGCCTTCTCGGCATTCTGGATTCTGGCCTTGTGGGGGAAGTACTTTCCAGGCTGTCCGGCAACGGGGCTCCAGGTCTGGCCGGCGTTAGTGGACACGTAGAGGGAGGCAGTGACGTTATCGGCGGTGCCGACAAAGATTCGGGAGGTGGCGCCACCAGAGACGGCTGAGGTCTCATCAAAGGTGACAAATGTCAGACCTTGAGGGTCGTTGAGGTATCCGTTGGCATCATTGGGATCAGGAGCGAAGTTGCCGACGTTGGTGAAGGAGGTGACCTTGCTAAAGGAAACACCACCGTTGGTGGACTTCCAGAGACCATTTCCACTGCGAGCACCGAAGTAGATGATGTTTGGGTTGTTAGGGTCGACTGCGAGACGTTCTCCAGTGCCGCGGCCGGGCATGTTACCACCAACCTTGAATGGCAGGTCGGTAAACGTCCACGTCTGGCCCTTGTCGGAACTGCGACCGATGGCGCCATTGTTGGGATCCCTTTTGACGTCAGTGACCTGTACCGTATTGTACATAGGGTAGATGTTTGTCTTACCAGCTGTTGGTGTACATGCCAAAGGCCGCGTAGACCTTGTTGGCATCAGCAGGGTCCAGCGCTAGTGCGTCTATTCCCCATCGGTTCCTGCATGGCATTGTCGATCAGCATGATGCCACGTTTGGCTGGGCATGGGTGAGACCATGTCTGTATAAACTCACCACTTGGCATGGGTAGCAACGTAGTCCGTGACAGGCGTCCAGGAATCGTCGGCGTTGAGACGGTAGAGACCACCGATATCTGTACGAGCATAGGCAACACCCTTCACCTTGGGGTGGAAAGAGATGCCAGGCACGAAGCCACCACCTCCTCCCATGCGAGCATTCTGCCACTCAAAGGCGGCATAGATGGGGCTTGCCGCGGCAAGAAGGAGTGAGAGAACCTTCATCGTGATTGTCTGTCGTTCCAACGGTTTGCTGGGCTGACAAGTGGATTGGAACGCCTGGAAGAGCGAGGCAAGGGAAGCGGGCAAGATCAGCGATCGTTACCTTACTTATATGATGCCCATTCCCGGGTATGACGGCCCCTCCCCAGGATCACGACGTTCCGAGTTGGACGGCTGTTTGCGATCGTGAGATAGGAGTATACAGAGGGGCCCAAAAGCCGATCTAGGTCGTATCCCGCGGGGCAGCCAAGAATCTCACGATGGCTCCGTGACGGAATAGTGCAATTGCCCCAGGCTGGACCTGCATACTCCAATTCAGATCCCAGGTCGATTGCCACTTTGGGCCGACTGGCGACTCGTCCCGTGGTCCCGGTTGCGCTACGCCGTTCCGAGCCGCGGACCAAGGAGCATCCAGCTCCGATCGTGCAACATCAGGCAACGTTTTCCGCAAAGTCATCATCCAGGTGACACTGGTGAGGCCAGGCTGTTGTCTCCATTAATTAACTGAGCTTGTTCTCATTGGAGCGGAATCCAATCCACGAGCGCGACTCAAATTGACTGAGGGCAGGGTCTACTGTCGTGACGGCTTCGTGTCGGAATTGACGCGTTTTCCGGAGCCTGGCGCGCCCCAAATCTATTGCTCAGGCACACCATGGTGCAGCCTACAGGTCCAGAGCCATGGAAAGTACAAGATGAAGGCGTGGAGTCTGTGGAGTACGCGGCATGTCTCCTCGCTGTGTAGGTAGTCCCCGCAAAGCAACCTTGGCCATCGTGGTCAGTGCCCAATCGCAAGACAGTCAAATATCGGCCACGGCTTGATGTTTCCCATAGGCCTCAATCGGGACCTCTCTCACCACAGAGTATAAGTAAACCGATGCTCCCCTATCGCCATGTGTGTGGCGGTAAATTGGCGCTCTCAAGCCATGGCGCTCCCGTCAATGCCCTGACTCGCAAAGCAGCCCCTGTGCCTGTGGCATTTGGGAGTGCTCCGGTACTCTTTTCCGAGTAGTGGTATGCCTCATGTCTCATGCCTTGCCTGTCCAACACTTGACTTCCGTCTTGCTGTAGTAGTTCGTTTGTCTAAGTAGACAGGCGGGCCGTTGCTGGCATGTTTGCTCCTGAGGAGCGAGTTTTCCACGTCGTCAATTCAGGGGTTCCCCAGAGGCGCAGACATCGCTGTCTGTTCAGTTCACTCACCCGGCGTGGGAAACAGGGTGGACATCCATCGCTCCGCAAACAAGACTCATTTCCTATTCCAAAGGCTTTTCTGCACCGTCGGACAGGTCGAAAGCCCCGATTTTCAAGAAACACCAAACTTGCAGGATGGAGCATCCGTTGTAGATTCCCTAAAAGATGCGAAAAGATAACATAAGAAAAGAAGAAGCAGTATACAAGACGTCGGGGATGGCCTAGTTATGGATGATGAACGAGCCTGTGTCTAGTAGGATACCTACGTAGTCTGCAACACAGCCTCCATTGCTGCTCATCAAGAAACTTTCAGCGGTGTTCCAGACTGGTGGAATCGGCACGCGATGGTGGACGATGACGCCCCCGAGTGCGGGGTATTCCGATCTGGCGTGCGCCACAAGAATACGAGATTTCAGGAGTATGGTGGCTTCTGTCGTTCATCCCGACCTCTGGCTGGATCGGGGGATCAGTCTGGAGACATCAGACGTTGCAAGAAGTACCATACCTCCAACGCAGTCTCTAAAATCCTCCGTCAGCGACGACACGCAAAACCGTGCATGAACATGAGGCGGAGAGTCGTTCTTGGTGTACTTGCGGGCCTACTTCGACTGGGTACAGGCCACCGACACGATGAGCATCTGCGCCGCCTATCTATGGAACAGATCCCCCTTGCTGAGCTTTCCCAAAGCCAGAAGCAGATCAATCAAGACATACGACAGTACTGGATGCGACAAGCGAACGAAGCGCTGTCTTCGCCATGTCCTTTCGCCCCCTTCGGCACCGTTATTGTGAATCACACGGTCGATGGCAGAGGGAACATTGTCTGCACCGGCGAAAACACGAGCCACCAGTCTGGCAACCCCATGATGCATGGTAAGAGGTTGATAAATGGGTCATGTTCCGTGACGCAAGCTGCGGAAGCTTCGTGTAGGGTATCCATCGGAGAACTGACGAACAACAGGTGAAATGGCAGCAATCGCCAACTGCTCTCAAATCCTAACAGATCCGACGGGTCCTTACAAAATGACAGTCGCAGAAGCTCTGGCAGCATTCTCAGACTTGACCATCTACACAAATGCCGAAAGCTGCCCCATGTGCGCGTCAGCGATTCGATGGGCAGGCTTCAGGGAATACGTCTACGGCACCAGTATTGATGAGCTGGTCCGCAGAGGCTGGGATCAGATCCGGATTGCGTCGCGTGAGGTATTCGCAATGTCCGTCGATCTCCCGCGACAAACGGCGCTGATTGGGGCGGTACTCACAAACGAGACGAACCCCTTGTTTAGCTGGCAGTTCGACCACTCGGCTCCATGTCCACCGGGCTGTTCGCGATCTACGTGGCAGGCGGGTTCAATTTGTTCCGCTGCCTAGAACCCGAAATGTCGCGCAAAACTCCGAGGGATTGAGCTGATCGGACTTACTACCAAGCGACCTGCCGAGAACTGGTAGAGGTGAACGACCTGGGCAGAATCAGGAAGAGAGCTCAGCTGCTCGGGCGAGGCGAGGCCGTAGGTGAAACAGCGCCGCAATCTGCAAACCTTGTCCAGGGGCGAGGACACCATCGCTAGACCACTACCGCAATCACCCTCTATCATCCCCATCTAGCAAATGGGCCGCAGAGCCTATGAAGGCAGCAATTTTCAGGCACCAGCTACTATCTTCCAGCTTGGTAACGGGATTTCGAGGACCGAATGGCGCATCTTTCTGCTGCTGATTATAGTGTGTTGGGTGGTGGCGATTGGAGTACGGGATCGCCCGCGCGATGTGTGCTGCTCCAGCGTTGCAACACCAGGCTTCGGTACTAATTAACGTGAGGAGAAGCATGACCAGGGATGCTGGTGACCCCCGCAGCCTCTCCTGATCTCACCTCGTAGTAGACTACCGGCAGCAACGGTTCTGGGGTGCAGCCTCCTGCCGACCTCCATTCTAGAAAGTGATAAGAACCACGGCCTCTCAGGCGTAGCCTCAGCGATGAATTCCCGCACGCCCTTCGGCTTCGCTCTGGTTGCCATTCAGTCTGTCCGGTTCTCAAAATGCTTGCCAGCGTAGCTACCAGCGCTCTGCTTCTGTGGTCTTCGGCCACGGCGGCCCTTACTTATAGGGGTGTCGACTGGTCGTCGACCTTGATCGAAGAACGGGCTGGTATCAAGTACACCAACGGCGGCTCGGCTCAACCTCTTGAACAGATCCTTAAAGCGAACGGCGTCAACTCGGTCCGACAGCGCATCTGGGTCAACCCTTCCAATGGCGACTACAACCTCGACTACAATCTCAACCTTGCCAAGCGCGCCAAAGCTCAGGGTCTCAGCGTCTATCTGACCCTTCACTTCAGCGACACATGGGCCGACCCCGCTCACCAGGCCATCCCCAGCGGTTGGCCTTCTGGTATTGACGATCTCTCATGGAGACTCTACAACTACACCAAGGAGGTCTCCAACGCCTTCCAGAAAGCTGGTGTGCCCCCGGCCATCATCTCCATCGGCAACGAAATCACCTCTGGGCTGCTGTTCCCTACCGGAAAGACCTCCAACTTCTACAACGTCGCACGCCTCCTCAGCTCCGCCTCTTGGGGCATTAAAGACTCGACCCTCAGCCCCAAACCTAAAATCATGATCCACCTCGACCGTGCCTGGGACTGGAACGTCCAGGAGTACTTCTACACGCAGGTCCTCGCCGCTGGACCCCTTGCCGCCGGCGACTTTGATCAGATGGGCGTCTCGTACTACCCCTTCTACGGCAGCGGTGCCACACTCTCGGCGCTGCGAACCACACTGAACAACATGGCCAGCAAGTGGGGCAAGGAAATCGTCGTGGCCGAGCTCAACTGGCCGACGTCTTGCCCATCACCGGCGCAGCCTTTCCCGAGTGACCTGAGGGACATTCCCTTCTCGGCTCAAGGCCAGACGACCTTCATCCAGCGGGTCGCTGACGTCGTGAGCAAGGTCAACAAGGGGAAGGGTCTCTACTACTGGGAGCCTGCTTGGATGAACAACCAGGCGCTGGGGTCTTCGTGTCCATCGAACACACTGTTCTCGTGGCCTGGAAATGCGCTGTCGAGCTTGTCCGTCTTCAAGAACATTTGATGCATACCACTAGCATAGACAGAGAAACACGAGATGGCATTCTTTCACCTTGGCTTTGATTCCATGTATATTCGCGACTGTCAGATGGCTGCGAATCGCACTGCTCTTGTCTC